CAAGTGGAAGCAATGTTGCGGACCAATTTTCTGTTCAACCATTGTTTCTTCATTCGTTCCAGGCTGCAAGAGCTGCCACAATAGTTGAATAGAAAACGTGCTTAACTACACAAACAAAGGACGTAGAATGTAGATCCGGTACATGACAAATCAAGAAAGACAAAATCCAATAAAAGCATGATCCGTCCGTAATGCTCGAGTGGATGGCCTGCGTGAGTGCCAACAGCGGATCGGGGCAAAAGAGATGAAAAATAATAAATTCTACCTGAATGAGTCTGATGAGACTCTCAATCACCGCCACAAACAGGGCCCCGGCTAGGCCGAGGAAGGCGATCACGAAGATACCGGAAAGTTCCACTGAGCTGATGGAAAGTCGGCTCGTGGGTACAAATTTGGTGGACAATATGCTCGTGAATATCTGTCCGAATGAGGAGTCCTTACAGACGGCCTGAGTTGCGCTGCTTGGCGTAAAGTACCTTAAAAGTGAAGAAAGACATGATGTTTCAGTCGAGCATGGTGAAATTGCTGGCACAAGAAATTTGGCGTCCGTTTCATTCAATCCTGAATGCATTGTTTATTTACTTTTTTGACAATTAAGTCAATTAAAATGTGTCAGCTGGGCCAAGCAAAGGGCTCTAAACTCCGTGATGCAATGTAAAACATGAAAAGAGATTCAGACCAAACAAGAGTTCATAAAGTTAATTCACTTGGCTCTTAGACTGATCATCTCGCCCTGACTCTGAAGCTGTGAAATGGCTGCATTGATGACGTCCAGATGGGGCGAGTTGCGAAACATTGCCAAGGCATACGCATCGTCGCCAAAAGACCCTGCGCTGGATACACAATAGACGGTACTGTAGTAGGTGAACATTGGTTCCTCCAGAATGAAGGCAAGTTTGCTCTGAAAGGGACGGAAGGAAGTCGAACGAGAGGGCTCGGCGTCAGTAACACGGAAACAACAAATGCTATATAAGCTGTAAATTTAACTTATTTCATTTAAATAAAAGAAGGACTGTTAGTTGATTTTATATTGCATTTCACACAGTCTTGCTGCCCAAAAGGACCTCTTGCCCATACTGGAGTGATTAACAGTGTTGACTTTGCCTAGGCTGGACTCAACAGCACCCAAAGCGGGACTCGAACTCGGGCTGTGGTATTGCCAATTCTTTTTAATCATCATAAATAGGTTTTAAACTACTAGTCCTCAATCAACATAAACTAAATATGGTGAAAAGGGCTCTTATATAGGATCAACTGGTAATCTCAAAATGCTACTTCTGAAACGGAAAATAAGTAGTGTAGTCGATTATGGAGAAAATCACATATGAACGTCGGTAATCTCACCACAGAAATGGGATATTTAAAAGACTTAGCCTTCCTTGAAATTCCTTTCAGGTCTGTGACCTAAAGCAAGTGGAAGTTTAGATATTGTTTGAGACTATAAGCTGCACTACCACAACCCAATAGGTGTGTAAATGGATTTATGCGAGGCTAAACTGCATTTCACATCTGCCTGGAAAGGAATACCATTTTGGCAGCATATATGTGTAAAATTCAATCGAAAATGTTAGGCCCGATCATATAATTGTGTGAAAAATTCGATTACCAGTCCTTTCTTCCCTTAATCGAGATAAAGCGAACACAGCTCCTATATCAGATCTACCGGTAGTCTCAAATAATAGTTACTTATGAAGAAAAACCAAATAGGGTCTGCTCACACTTTATTGTATCAGCATAAAAAAATAGAGATCATTAATTAGTCCGATTGGTTTAAATAGCCATAAATGGCATTTTTTACTAAAAGGTGGGTTATAAATTAGGTATATTTAACTAAAAACATTTTTTATTTATTTTTTTGACTGTTTTTTATTATAATATCGTTTTTTTCTCCAAATATTTGGAGGTTGAGGGTTACCTGTAGAATATCCACTTTTTTAATGATGCTCTCGATTTT